TCTGGACAGACCTCAAGGCCGTGGCTGCCGCTGGACATCACTTTGGGCCTAGCCTGCCTCGCGGCCGGACGTGCGCTCCGATAGTCAAATCTTCTACAAACTTTCCGTCTGTACAGAATACAATCTTCCTAACATTCTGGCCTTACCATGACTTCTCTCGCTTCTCCTAAGAAACCGGACCTGGACGATCGCAGCCGTTAGGCTTAACCACCTTAGCCTTAACTACACCTCGACGCAACGCCTCCCGGCAGGCGTGAAATCTGGAGCGCTACTCTCGTCCCACATCGTTAATTCCGGGAATCTTATGAAACCTAGCGAAGCCTTCCGGGTGATTTATAGCGTTCCACCAATCTGCCCACAGTTCGCGGATCAGTGCCTGCTAGAAACAGTAGCAGTGACCGCCATCAGGTTGCGGAAGCCGGTCTTGTTTGCTCTGATGGGAATCTTTGCAACTTTAAAAAGTCCATCAACCCCTGAAGGTTAGCCGCCTTGACTGCTTTTTGGAAATAAACCACCAGTGCAATCCCACCGACCGATGTTATGAGACAGGAGATAAGTTCTGTGTACTTTAATAATCATAGTAATAGCAATCAGTTTAAATGGAGCAGGCAGCCAGATTAAAAGACTCCGACAGTCTCTTGGGAAGAGGAATTTAAAAAAGGCCCTTTTAGGCACAAACTTATCGGGGGAAGGGGGGGGAGTGGGAACTGGCTTCATCACACCACCACTCGCAGTAAATAGGGTGAGGAGGAAAACAGCTGTTTGTAGGTACTAGCTGACTGTCAAATGGAACGACTGCCTGTCCGCCACATGCATTTACACCATGCACACACAGAGAGATGCCTGGAAAAGCACACACGGAGAAGAGGCATTCTCAAAAAAGGGGTATTTCGGATCCGTTTTCTGAACGACAAGCAAAGCTCATAAAAAATTTAGGCGTGAGAACAAAATAGGTTGGGACCCAGTAGAAGCAGACAGAGGGCGAGAGCGAGTGGGGCTGGGAGACGGGGGGTGGGCGGAAGATATAACAGGGAGAGAGAGAGACAGAGTGAAGTAAGCTCAAATTTGAAAAAGTCAGAAGTGAAGTAAACATAAAACTAGTTTGGAAACTGGATCCATTCTTCTGTGTGACAAGGTTACTGTCCTTGAGCTGGCTTGAATATGACTGGTCCGAAGAAGGTCTTGTATGGACTGTTATGGTCCTCGCCAAGGAAGTATTCCACCCAGGCTGATAAGTACTCATCGCTGCTAATCTTGCCATCCTTGTCTGTGTCCAACACCTGAAACGAGGCAGAAGGGGGAGAATCAAAAACTGCGTGTATGGGGGTGCGTTTTGAACGAATAGTGACATCTGTAGAGACCCTTTGGCAACTTCCACCTCCAGAACCACGCATGAGGTCACGTGATTGCAATTCTCGACCAGCCTCTGGGACAGCCAATCACAGGGGCCGCAATCTGCGGCAACGCTCAACCTCTTGCCTATCGCGGCTGCTATCATGTTTGCAGTTATAGGCCGAACCCAATGCGTCTGGTCAGTCATCGCCCTGTGGCTGACTCGAACATGACCGCTCTAAGAGGCTGTGATGATTATCACGCTAACACACTCTGGACCCTGCCCTCTCGCGAGTGGTTGGTCACTCGTACGAAAGTCAACATCCTCCAACCTATTCTCCACTACTTCTGTACAGAAACCACTATTGCTTCCACGTGGCCTTTTACTTCTTCTCTTCCTACACAGAACCAGGGCCTAGGCAAGGGCTTTCCCTATTAACCTAATCCACTGTGATAAATGTGCCTGTTTAGGTAAGGCCAGACAGACGTTTCCTCAGAAAAAGAGGCGTACGAGTCGTCGTCTCTTTGAGCGGAAGGTAGTCCATTTAAATGACTGTTGCGGTTCCTAGTAGGTCAGACAGACAGAGGGAGATCTGTCTGACGAAAATCATCACTTGGGTTAGTGGCGACATACACCTGAGGCCAACTTCAGTGAGACAAATTAGTTGTGCACAATCGGTCTCTCACTTTCCCAAACCCAATGAAAAGATTTTACCACGTTTTTTATCGTTTATAGTGACCCGGGGCCAGAGCCCAATACACAATGGATACACCCTTTTGGTTAAGAGCAGAGTGGATGGATGACCTTGCAAGACAGTGAAGGCCACACGTACGCCGCGTCTTTTGAGATCATGCAGCGCATGACCCTAAGTTTGTTTACCTTCGTTAATTCGCCTATCTATTCAAGATAATCTAATTCGAAAGTAAACCTGCAAAGGGTGTCGGTGCCAAATGGCTGAGGAATTGGTCAGTAAACAGGCGCGCAGTGAATCCCACGTTTGGCCAGG